TCTATAAATAAAGTTAAAAAATTTAAATTTTAATAAATTAAAAAATTTAATAATTTAAAATTAAAAATTTTTTTTACCGATTATAATGAATCAAGCATGATTTGAATATATATTAAAGATGTATATCCCAAGTTTTTGAATGATCAATTTTTTTAATTGCCATATCCAAAACTTTTAATTGAGCATGATCTAAATCAGCTATAATACATGCCTATCCTTCATTATGAATATGATAGAATTTAACATACTCTCTGTAATTTCTTTAATTACTTGAAATAAAACTTGAAATAATCATTTATATCCTTCAGCTGTAAATACATTAGTAAAAATACGACAATAAGACATAACTAAATAAATAAATATTTAAATTAATAATAATTTAATAAATAATAAATATACACATATTTTAATTAAATATATTCTTAATGTATTTTATGATCTTTATTATAAAAGTTATATTCAAATTTATTAATTGATTCTTTAACTCTTTTGTAACTCACATCGATTTGAAAAAAAGTTACTTTTTGTAACATATATGCCAATTCTGACAATATACAAATAATTATAACTTGGCCATTATAAAAAAATTCCAAAAAAAATTAATAAAAAATTATATTATCAATATTAAATTAACAAAATTATAAATATACATACTAATTTTTTGAACATATTTATGTAAATTATTAAGTTTTTGTGTTATATTATACCATATACCTATAATACTTTGTCCATATGAATATATTTTTTTATTTGCCTTATTAACTAAATATCATAATCAATCTACATTATTAAGTGAAGCATGAATTTGACTGAATATTTCAGTATTAAATGAACAATTATTATAAAACGCACTTATGGTGATTTTCACCTATTGGTGTAACCATATATAAATGATTAAAACTGATGCATAACATGTATAATACATACAACTTTTACTTTATATCTATATGTGTACAACTCATTAGATTTTAACTTAACTTAACTTAACCTTAAATTATCTTATTGCACATAACTGTCTAACCACATTACTTATATATTTAATTATTTACACAGCATTATATAGCTTTTGAAATGGCAAGTGACGACAAATTTAATGAAGCTGATCTGTGTTTTATTAGCAATGTTGAGACAAATATATTTGATGAAATTCTGGATTCTTATGGGCAACTTCGATCTGAGGAAAGTAATAGCTTAGTAGAATCTGAGGCTGAAACTGATTGACTGATTCAGAAGAGGGATTATATCTCTTAACTAAAGGGCAAAGTTTTACTAATTAGAAAGATGTTGAAAAGTAAGTTGAATATTTTATTTTAATTTTGTTTTTTTTATACATATATAGTACAGGTATTAATTAATGAAAGTTGGCTTGACAAACATGATCGTGAATGAGGCTTTGCTTTTTCTTTAGTAAAAAGTGAATTAGACAAGAATGACGGAATATCTAGACATCAGGTTTACTATTGTTCCAAAGGGCATCATTATGAAGCAAAAAAAAGACACATATGTTAGAAGAATGAAATAAAGCACATGAGAATAGTGGTTGTGAATATCATCTTAATTTTTAAAGATGTAAAAGTGATAATTAAGTACATATTTTAGGTATAATTGGTAAGCATTCACATCCAATGAGCGATAACATCCAAATGGCTGCACCTCAATATCGTTGCCTTACATTTGAAATGCGTGATGATATCGAACTTCTTGCTGCTAGTAGTGTACATACAGGGGCCATTATTAATGTGTTGACATACAAATATCCAGATCAATATATCCATGCACATAGTGTCTACAATATTATTCAAGTGGTAAAAGCAGAGAAAGGAAAATTAAATGATGCAAGTGCTACCTATAAAGAGCTAATGCGTTGAAAACAGGAGATGCCTGGTTGGTACATTGATGCAAAATTCGAAGGAAGTGATAATCATCTTGTAGGGCTTTTGTGGTTGCACCCCAAACAAATTGATAGTTGGTGTCGTTTTCATGATGTCATTTTACTTGACACGACCTGTAAAACAAATAGATTCAATATGATCATGTGTGTGGTGGTTTGTATAGATAACTACAATAGATCACAACTTGTTGCTACAGCCTTAATTATAGATGAGCAAAAAATAACATTTGAATGGATTTTACAAGAGCTACTTAATGCAACAGGTTGTTGACTTTTTATTGTTTTATTTAGTATGTTTGTTGTAGTTAATTTGTAGTATATACTAGTTAATTTTTTTTTTTTTTATAAAGGAAGGTTAAAACCTAAAGTTGTTTATACAGATGCGGATCTAGCAATTACTGGTGCAATTAAAAATGTATGGCATGGCACAAAGCACTATTTCTGTTTGTTTTACATATGGAAAAATCTTGAAAAACATTTTCTCTTTAAGTTTGGTAGAGAAAAGTTTAGAGATTTCTTTTCAAGTTTTTGTCAGGCATGCAATAGCACTACTGAAACTGTTTATAAAAGAAAGTGGCAACAGGTCTTGAATTTATTTCTTGAGGCACAATCTTATCTAAGGCGTCAGCTTTATCCTTATCGTAAAGCATGGGTTCTTGCTTTCACACATCAGTCTTTTAATTATGGTATTCAATCAACTCAAAGAGTTAAAGTATACAACGTGATTTTAAAGAAATCACTTAATGGAACAAGCTCTTTAATAGAAGTAGTAAGCATAATCAAACAGCATTTAATGAGGGAGTTACAGCTTGTGAGATTCAATGAGATCAATGGAGAGCTACCACGTGTTATGCATGCAACTTATCGAGATCACTATTTTATAGCGATTGATGAGGCTTGCACTAAATTTCTTATACCGGCAATACAAAAGTTGCAGTGGAATCAAATGGATCAATGCCCTCACTATCAAGCCTATTATACAGATTTGGAGTTTGAGTTACAACAACAAGCTCATATTAAAAATATTGATAAACTGGTATATTAAAAGTAGTTATGAGCTTGGTTGTTGTCTTTAAATTGTCTTTTAATGAGTCAAACTACAAGTTAGAAATTTGATAAAATTAACAAATAGGTTTGACCTATTTGTTAATTTTATCAAATTTTTAACTTGTAGTTTGACTTATTAGTGTGTTAGTTGAGTTATTTAATATTTTTTATTTTATTTAGAATATACCTAAAGGCATGTTTAGTGAAGATTTGTATGATGAAATGCTTATTGAATTAACAAAACTTGTTGATAGTATTGGTAATATCAAAGAGCTTTGGATAGTATCACGTATTGACCAACAAAAGCACTATTTCATTGTTTTCTTTGGAAATGCAAGTCACTGGTGTACATGTTTAACACTCGTGAATTGTGGCATTATATATCATCATTTTTTTGCCATTTTATTGGAAAGTGAAATAGCACAATTTCATATTGGAATTTTAGCAAAACATTGGTTTAATGATCGAGTCATGCTAAAAAATGATGATTATAGTAATGAATGTGCAATTTCAATTCGAAGTGGAGGAAAATTTGGTGCATTTGAGAATAATGTCCAAGTTGACTTTTCTTTAATTGATTTGATTCATGGTCAATGCATTTTTACACCCAAGATACAACATCATATAAGAAGTCATGCTCTCTATGGGAAAGGTTTTGGTCTTATGAAAAGAACTTTGAATTTAGCAATCCAAACTGGATGTACTGAAGAGCTTTATGAATTACATCAGCAGTTCATCAATGAGATAGAAAAACAACTAGCAGAGCAGGAAGGATGCATTCTGCAGTCGGATGATGAGTATAATTATGAAACAATCAATAATCCACTAAAACCACGAACAAAGTAACAGAAGCGTCAAAAATGTATAGCATTTAATGATAGTGCATGAAAAAATGTGTTGAAGGAAACAACTAATGTGTTGCAGAATGATGATTTAGTGAGAATGGCTAGTTCCAACATTAGTAATGAATCAATTAATGTTGACAGTACTGAAGGTACTGAAGAACAAGACCAAATAATGCATAAACATATTCAAAACATTTTTTTTTTTTTTTTTTTTTTTTAACTTTAGCAGTCACGCTAGTACTTTATTAGGATTCTTGAAACTATACAAATT